CGTCCACAGGTAATAGAATGCAGCGAGAGATCAAAAACATTAAACCGTGTTTATCCTGTGGAAAGTTACATCTACGAAGCACTTGCCGTTTTCGGGGTGCTAAGTGCCATAAATGTGGTAAAGTTGGACACATCAAGACGGTTTGCAGAAGTTCGAATACTTATGTTGCTCAACATTCTTATAATTCTCCCAAGCTGTCTAGTAAAATGGAGTCAATGTGTCTTTCAACTTTTCAAAATACTCAAGCTCATCCAATGAAAACCTCCACTACAAGTTCGGCAACTCAAGTGTCAACTGTTTTCAAAAATGAGGTAGCCGAGTTACAATGTGAACTGTCGAAAACACGAAAAAACCTGAATGAGATGAGAGAGCAACTGATTAAAATGCAGGAATTGATGCATATGCATAGACTGCGTCTGTCGAATGCAGAGCATACAAGTACCCGTGAAAGTCCTGCAAAACTTTTCAAATCTCGAATTCTCAAAAAGCATCTGATGTCCACGACTTCTAATGTACATTATTACAAAGGTAATGACTATAGACCTTCTGTTGGAATTATACTACAAAAAATGGGAAATCGAGTGGTGAAGATATTAGACATCAAAGATCACTCAGTTCATAACAGACACCTGGACAAAGTGACAATAAATGAAGTAGGTCGTTCCAATTATAATATTAATGATTCCGTCACTAATCCTGATTTTGTAGATAATTCAGAAATAAGTCCAGATAATACTGATGAAATAATATCACAGAATCAGTTAGAAGGTCGCAGCTACTTGCAAGCAAACCGAGACATCGTTATAAATACGCAAGGAGATATTCGAGGTGTGGCGGATGTGGTGATTGACAATTTCTATCTCTGTATTGTTTAAATACTTACTGTTGATTGTTAATATGTTTCTTATATGAATTGCATAATAATTCCGCTAAATACAAATTCCTGAATTCTGCCCTGTCTGTGTTTTGGTTGGATTCGTGTAATTCAGTCATCTCGAAATACTAATATTACAATTACAATAAATTACTACAATTTTCCATTGATCGAACCACTGTTTATTTATATACAGTTTGTATATTCTTTAACCAATCACTTAGCATGTGATTTCGGTTCACATCAAACGGCATGAAATAGAATAGTCAAATATACATAGTATTCTTTTGTTAATGCAGTTTATAATTGTGGGAAAAGAATTCTGTCTCCAACATCATATACAATGTTCAAATAGATATGTTGTATTCTGTCGCTAGTGCCGAATTGAACTGTGGGAATATGCGAGAATAATATTCCATTGGTACATATTGTCTGTATCACACCACCACAGTATTATATTTACTGATGATGTTTCAAGCACAATTTATTACTGCTCTAATCATTTAAAGGCAGTACTCACATAACTTTTTTGCTTCGTTTATTATATACATGAGTAAAAATTGATGATTAGACATTTGAATGAAAGCAATATTAGACTTGCGTGAAACAGAAAGGAAGATAAAGTACCTTCAGAAATAATATTAGTGTTATCATCAAAATATAATACGATGGGAATTGTATCCCAACAACATTCGTCTTAATTTTTTTAAGCTTAAATATTCCCATTATGAAAGTTACTGTTTGAAACAAGCAACAAATGCTGATAAACACAGGATTTAATGAATTCACCAAATTTTGGTAGAACTTTTCAGCTGAAAACTCTACATATAGTGGTATATATATATATATATATATATATATATATATATTGTTGGCAATACTTTGGCAGATATGTGACTGATAAACAGGTAAACTATGCTGAATTCATCATACAAAATGACAGGTGCTAACGCTTTACGAATCAAGTCCAGACAGATAAGGGGGAAGGGATATGAGTGATTAAAACTGAGATAGTAATGCATCATAGTTCAGTTATCTCACTTAAATAAACAATTATTTAACAGAGAAAGAATTTGAGCATATAGAGAATCTCACACTGAATAATATTGATAATACTACTACTGTAGACAGTAATTTACGTCAGTGTGTACGTCCCCAATATTGGTCGTGAGAAAAATGAGAACAATGACTGATTCAACAAACAGCCACAGCAGACTTTGCAAAGGCAGATACAGTTAGCATATAAATGATCTGACATTCAAGAAACAGCCACAAAGAGATGTGCGCTTGTGGCACAGTGGTTAGGACTCTCGCCAACCATGCAAATGGTTCGGGGTTCGATCTCCTGCCGACGCACAGCGATATCTCCGGTCGGCCTGCAAGGGACTCCTGGATCAACGGACACATACAAATTGTCCGGATACATTGTTGGCGGAAGAGAAGAAGCACCAATCCTTTGAAGCAGGTGAAAGTGCTGCGAGCCATTATGATGGCACAAGCCAGGCAAACAACACGGCCAGATATTAGTCCTCCAGAGTCACTCGAAACCACTTCCTGTACAGAGATGGGAGAAGGCGTCTACCAGTAGGAAGAAAGTGTGCAACATCAGATTACAACTGGGGCGTGTCATAGCCTTGTGCAAAAAGTTAGCAGATTGCACCCAAAAACTAATGTCAAAAATGATAGCAACCATGTCATTTCACCATATATCAAATTTAAAACAAGAAATAAAGGTTAATAAAGCAGGATTTAATGAATTCATCAAATTTCGGTAGAACTCGTCAGCTGAATACTCTACATACACGAATATATATACTTTTGAAATTACATAGGGAGATATAAGACTGATAAGTTGAATACTCTACATACACGAATATATATACTTTTGAAATTACATAGGGAGATATAAGACTGATAAGTAAACAAACTACATTGAATTAATCATGCAGAGAGACAGGTGCGAATATTTTCCAGGTCATGTTCAAATAGATAAGGGGAGAGAGAGAGTATGAGAGATCAAAATTAAGATAAATTGCATTACGCTTCAATTACATCACTTAGATAAACAATTAGTCATTAGGGAATATATATCTACTGTTTCTACGATTTGGTGATCGAAGGGAGTGTGTACAAGTACATGGATATACACAAAGTAACAAGGATTTCGCCTGAATGACAAACCACAAACCAGATAGATTTCATCCCGTTACTGCTCAAGCAAGCGGAGTTGCAGCTAGTCTGATGGATACAAGGTCGAGGAGGCCAGCAGATGTGGGCTCAGACCATCACCTAGTCCAACGAACCTCCAAAGTGAAGCTGAAATCCATGAAAACAAATGGAGACAGACCACAATTCAGGTCCAGCATTGGGAAACTGAAGGAGAAAACCAGAGGGGATGTCTTGCTACAGATTTCAGAACAAAGTCGGACACACTATGTGGCATCACTGAGGAAACCTGAGTGGAAGAACGTTGGAACTAAATCCCTGAAGGCGATATTCAAGGAAACGTGTACAACTGTTTAAGGAAGAACGAAGTAACAAGACGGAGAATGGCTGTCAATGGATACCTGGGATGTAATCGAGGAGAGGAGAGAGGAGAATGGCGGAAGAGAAGATTACTCAATGCAAAGATAGGCAGCAGAAGCAGAAGTTTAGTTCAAAGTATACTGCACTGAATGAAGAAGAGCGCTAGAAAAGACGAACGACAATTCTACGACACACTGGTAACTGAAGCAGAGCAGGCTGGCCGCACGCAAAAAAGACATCAGGACACTGAATCAGATAACCAAGTCTCTATTCAGGGAGCAATCAGTCTAGATGATGTAACCAATAAAAGATGCTCGAGGGAACCTGATCACTAAGGAGGAGAAGCAAATCAAACAATGGGCTGATCACTTCAAAGGACTCTTGAATCGACTACCACCGGCAACTCGGCCAGAAATAACACCAACAGCACGCACGGAACTACCTGTCAGTCGACACCAATCCAGAAACAAAGGAAGAAATCCTGAATGCGATCAAGCTATTGAACACTGGCCGAGAAGACAGCAGGATCAGATGGCATCCCTTCCGAAGCACTAAAGACGGCCCCAGAGATTACGGCAGATGTTCTCGCTCCATTGCTGCAAAAGGCTTGCAAGGAAGAAATGGCACCTACCGGTGGCAAGAGAGGCTACCTCATCAAGCTGCTAAAAGAAGGGCGACCGAAGTGGAATCATCCCTTTTTCCACGCCTAATAAAAGTACTAGGTTACACAATCCTGGAGAGAACAAAAATGCAGTGGATATAGAACTCCGCAAGACCTGGACAAGCTGGATTCAGGAAAGGCGAATCATGTGCTGATCCAATTGCAACTCTACGCATCGTCATCACAGAACAAGGCATAGAATAGCAGTCATATCTCTGCCTCGACTTCACAACTGTGCTTCGGTGGCACAGTGGTTAGGATTCTCGCCGACCATGCACATGGTCCGGGGTTCGAGCCCACACCGACGCACACCTTGATATCTATTGTCGGCCTGCAAAATTTGGGCTACCGATATCCATGCTGAAAAATCCATACTTGTACCAAAAATACGGTGTGGAATCAAGTTGTAATCAAAAATTTAAAAAAATAAAAATAAATACTTGCCCTACAGTGTTGTTGATCACTAACCAGAGGCACTACTGTGGTGAACCTACTAGTGCGCTGGCTGCTATCTCCTTTTCCGAAGGTTTGGCCTAAACATGTGTGGCCAGCCGTAGTAAATATAAGGATATCATGACGTGAGATAGGCTGTCTGTGAAAGAATCAAAGCAACAAGACTGTCAAAACCACTTCGATGTTCCGTTAATTTCTAGTGGTCAGACTGTCATGCCGTTTTTCTCAAACAAATATTGAAATATTTAATTTAGAGAGAAGTTAAGACAGCCTCTGGGGAGAGTGAACATTCAGATGTCCTGGAACGCATTCTGGTTGTTGGGTAACGACACCTGTTGTTGTTATAGCGAAAATATGAACTCTATACACCAACTGAGTAGTCGTGCATCCTTTTACTGGACACCATAGTAATTAAATTGAGGGCTTTTGAAGAAGACTACAAAACGGGATAAGAGCGATAAACGGGTCAGAATACAGGCTGACCTTAAGTCACCTCGGTGAATACATGTACACAGACTGGTCTAACTTGCAAAATGATACTCCTCACTCTAAGTGGGACGTATTTTTAGGCCGTATCATTGGAAGACACCCTGATTGATGTGTTTCAATGCATTTTCTCGTAAGTAAACCTCATTTCGCTTGCAAACATCACTTATTTTTATGGATAGTCGGCTCAAGGTCACTCATGCGTTCTCACCAGTTGGGACTCTATTGTTTACCTTTGCCTAAAACAGTATTTGAATAGTTTGAGCATTAATGTTTACTCATCTTTGACCCATGTTTTCTAGATGGACGCTTGGCAGCTTGTTTTACTCGTTGCTAAGTCCATCCTATCGATTTCCCCTCTGATTTCGCACATTGGTGAACGTATGTAGAGAAGATGAATGTTGACAAAGGAGAGTCTGTTATTTCAAACGGGCTGCTTAATGGGTGTAATAAGTCCAATTTCAGTGAAACGAATTTACCTGGACAACTAAATAACATTCACATGGAAAATGTAAGTAAAAGTTGGACGGAATGCTCAGTTTTACTTAGGACTCACTTAAAACTGTTCCTACTGAATTTTTTCAATGCTCATCAGAATCGAGAGATCATTCAGGAATTTCTGACACGTTTTACACCTTCCCTTCTTACCATAAACCATGCAACTGCGCCAAGTCTCATTGTCTCAAACTGTATTGCGAATGTTTTGCTCGAGGCAGTGCTTGCAATAACTGCAACTGTACTAACTGTATGAACAATGGTCTTCATGAAGAAGATCGTCGGAGGGCAATAGAACTCACTTTGGAAAAAAATCCACTGGCATTTCATCCGAAAGTCGGTAAGGTGGTTCTCACTGCTTACTACTTTAGGCGACGGCGAACGACGACACTCAAAGGGGTGCAACTGCAAAAAGTCCGGCTGTCTGAAAAACTATTGCGAATGTTATGAGGTTTCATAGTAATTACTTAACCAGTCTCACTTACAGGCGAAAATTGCGTGTTCTAACTTATGTCGGTGTCAGGGATGTCGAAACGTTGGGGAGGAGCAGATTCAGCAAGAATCAGACGCAGATCCTCTTCGGATCAGTGAGCAAAACTCACTGTTACACAATGGGTAGGTTGTCTCGGATACTTCTGATCTATTTGAAATCACCTTCTTTCACGTATAGTCAAGATACATTTTGTTACAAGGAGAATTATGTCCAACTACCACATGCTAACCAAGCTTTCGGAGGAATATTGGGCACCATCAAATCAAATCTACCTACTGAACATGGATATATAAACAGGCCAAAATTGGTAATCTGAGTTTCCAAGTCATATTTTTAAGCTTATTTCCTACGAATCAATTGAGGCAGCATGCAGCTGTATGCTTGCTCACGCCAATGAAGCTGCACTCAGAAATCTTTCCGACTATGAACAAGAAAAGGTTATCATAGATGAATTTCTAAGATGCTCTGAGCAAATAATCCAGTCAATCATTAAGGTTTGAGTAATGTATTCTGTGTTTACGTTAATCGTGTTAATGTTTTCACACTTCGGTTGCACTTTGTCTTCTTCATTCAGTTTAGAAATTTTGGTCGACTCTGATAAATTTCAAAATGGGCTTTAACTTTCTGGTTTGGTTATGCCTCTTAACATCTTTTATACTTATGACAAGTATCGCATAATACCATGATGAGATTCATTTTATGAGGTTAAACACGCATGGATGACTGGGTTGGAGCTTTTAATTTTGGATGTAAACGAAGTGGGAAGTTTAAGCTATCGTATTTCTTCCTTTCCAACAAGGGATAAGCTGATGTTCACTCTGCATAAACTGTAGAATAAAATACGTGGATACTTTCAGCACCTAAATAAAAAAGTATCAAGGTGAAGCACCGTAAGTTAAGTATTGGATCGTGGATGTCTGGACAAAACAGTTTTAACATTCTAACTATTTCAGCGGACGACATTTTCATGTGCACAATCGTGTGTAATTCTTAAACCTAACATTTCACCGAGTGAAATGTGATAGCGTCTTTGTTTAAGCAAGTCTGACGTTATCTTACGGTCTGTTGGAGACTTGTGGTCCAGTGTCAAATGTATTGGATGAGAATTCTTACCGAGATTGATCTGTCATATTCTGCTAAACTGTTGTGATGTTGTAGCTGCACTTGGTATGTCCACTTGAAGCTTCATGCCATCCGTCAAGGGTTCTTGAAGCTGCTTCATGCTTCAGTGGAGTTCACTTATTCGTCATAATTTCGAATTTGTGTGCCTTGAATATACGACGTGGGTGTTGAGTCCACTTTTTACTTTTGTAGTATAGATTATTCCTGCTCATTGTTAGAAGGTATCCAAAATGTTAAGACGTCTAGTTGTCTCAAGCAAGGATGATCTCAATTGTGCATTAGTATGCAAGTGTAAAAGCGCACCTCACTTTGACTTACTTTGACTTTGTCACAAAAGTGGATGGAGTTTGTGCGAATTCGTATGTTTCACAATTGTGATACATAGCAAACACGAACGCTTTCGGGATTGAAATCAAAGTGTTGGAAAGATTTCATAACTGTGATGACTGCAAGTTGTGAAGCTACTCGGTTAGCACTTTATTCACAGAGTTCGTGGCCAATTGATTGGCTCAGTTGACCTTATGAAGTGATTCTGATTTTAATTTTAAAGCGGTTGGTTTTTAGTCATGAAAGTATGACAGGTCATATTATTTCACTATTTGCTTTCCCTGAATAGACTGTGTGATTTCACAAATCTAATCCAAAGTAATGTCTATGTACACAACCTGTCTAAAAGTGTTCACTCAGTCAAGTTTCAAAACAAACTGACATCGGAGTAAATATTAATTTCCCGATAAGTGAGTCAGTTTGTGAGTGAGGTTTGTTAGTTAATTGAGACGGCTGAAGTGATTATCTCCTGTTATTTATTGTTCACTTTGGAGTAATTTTAAGCCGAAGAACCTGCACGGAACGTAATGAAATTTCACTCATGTACCTGTGGAATAATTATTTGAGTTATCGCCTTTCGCCGACTGAAGTCAGTCACGGTCGACTCTGTATTTGGGTGCGTGTGTGTTTACTCCTCCATATCTTAGTATCCCCTCCTTCGGAGTTATTTCAGCACCGTCTCCCTTATTTCCTCATATACTTTTGAGTTTGCGAGTCAATACACTTGTAATATGTGGATTAGTGCTCTATTACCAAAATCTTATTGGAAGGAATATCATGAATAATTAACCCCACTGTAGTATTGTCTTATAAGTAGATATACGTTGTAGTGAAATAGATGAGCTAAGTGAGGACCTGCATGAATAGATTGAATCACCATGTCAGTTATACTGGTGAATATTTTGTGCCCTACCAATTAGGAAGTAGAGTGTACAAATGCGACGAGACCGGTGATGTTCTTCATCTTCATAGCAGTGAAATCAATGCAGGGTGCCACCAATACCCTTTTAATTCGCAAGCTTTGTATGTAATGCTACTTAGTAACAATCTGAGGTATAACATCTGTGTATTGATGAAACTACTTTTCTCGTTTGGATGAATTTGAATCATATTTTGTGGCACGCTGAAAGCCGATCTTGTTCACCTCAGTCTGAAGCGTTAGTCAGATGACAGTCCACTTTCGTAGCCTGATGCACACACTTATACCTGATTTGTAAACATAAAATCTAGCGTTAATCTAAGTGGGCTTCATTTGAGTAAGATTTTGTGGAGTTATATATTGTGTGTTGAGAATGGACAGCAGAGAATACGGTAGCTACACACAGTCAACATTGATCACTTTGTAAGTCTGTTTAAACAGAACCGGAGTTCTAGCTAGAAAGCCTTGGAGGGATGGAGTGCTCAGAAATATTTTAGGATTTGGGAAGTATTTGTGTGCATCATTTGGCGAACTTCTTCGCCTTATGAATATGCAAGGAGCCAATATTGTTAGACATAATTTGCGAAGTAGACGACTCCTGAGTAATTCCATCAATTATGTCATCCATTGTTACTCAGTAATAATAATGATAATAATAGTTATAATTTAATATGTGAGTGCTTGGCACTATTCGGACCATAAATGTTGTCATTACAAGTAAGCTATATCCCGTAACATCTGTCCAGTAAATTGTTACGTCATTCGGAATCTTACTTGACTGCTTGACTTTTTATTGACTTTGTGCATTCCCATTCAGAAGGCAATGATGTATCGCACGTCTAGTTCTTCATTCACTGAAAACTGTGGAGATAGCAGCAATCCCAATCTCGTCACTGGGCGGAATTTTCCTCCTGGGCAGGCTATGACCGAGGACGTCTCCTCTACAACTGAGAACACATGTCAAAATGCACCATATACGGTTGGACCTGAAGGTATTGAATACAATGTTTCATTTCGGTCCACCCAAAATGAACAACGAGCACTTCATGATATTACCCAGGAAACGAATTTTTCAGCAGGAAGTAGATATAGTATTCGTAGTCCTAAAGAGTCACAATTTCCACGTGTTTCCGAATTTCGAAACGTTGCAGGTGATGGCAACTTAAGTTTCACAAAGAACCATTCAAGATTTTCACAGCCTTATATATTAGAAGTGAGTAAATGAATTGACATTGTTAGCTTCGTTAACGGTTGTGTTTTTTACTAGTTTTTTGTCGCAAGTGTTACCTGCATACTGTTTATGTGTTCCTATGGAGGTGGGGAGGTAGAAATTTCCAGTTGCTGATGGTTGTTTAGATTTGGATTTCATTTTATCTCTTCATTACTTGGGGATATATCTCTTGTCATATAAATAAGAATTAAGTATTCTCTGTGCTACTGCGAAATTCGTATATTCGAGTTCGCCGTTTCATTCAAAAGTTTTAACATTACGTAGTCGCGTTCTGGGAGTCTACCACTAGAACTTAAAACTCTATAAATGAATGAACATTTTCACTTACTTGCATCATGTTCCAGACCATTTCAAGTGTCGATCCTGGTGAATTGAATATTTTTTCTTGTGTTTCGCTTTTCTATAATTGTATTATTTATATTGTAATCATGAATGTTTGAAAAGCAATGTGTCATTCTACCTGGTCTATTCCATAAATAAACATTACAATAATCTCAGAGAAAAGTAAATGTGTTGGAGAACAAAACCAGCTCTCTTTTGGTATTTCAGTCTACTTGTGACGCTCTAATTTGCGTGGAGCTTGGCAAGCGATAATTCTGTCAGAGGCTTTAGATATCCTTCAGATTAGTGGTTGGAGAAAGCAATATGTATGGAATTGTATGCACAAGTAGTTATTTTCCAGATGTGTACGTAAACGTTGAGTTCCACAACTTTATCTTTAAGCTTTATGTCGAAATTGGAATGTCGTATTACCTATCACTGATAGTCTATCAGTACACTTTAATTTTGATAAGTCTGTGAATTTTCAAGGACTCACTTGATAAGAGCGTGTTTAACTCATGCGTGGTGCCGAATTTCTTCAGCAAGCAGCACAAGTTGAAGTAGGATTCAGTCGGGATAAGATGAAAAGCAACGAGTCTAAAAAATGGCACCATATCGGCAATGTGATAACTGTTGGTTTGACATTTGTAATGGTGATGACGTAATGGTTGATCCCGTAGGTGTCATTTTTGTATCCATTCACATATATAACAAGTGAATTTGAAATATGTTATTATATACATGGAAGGACACAGCGGCAGTTATTTAAAAATATTTCAAGAAACTTCAGTAATACACATACATCACTTCTCCTCGATAGTTGAATATCTGAGGACGGAAGTCTTCCTCATGACACAACTTCTAGCGTAAAAGCAATTCATCGATGAGTATTATTGAACGCTTCAAAGATTTTATTTGAGTTAATACTTTTATTAGCAGTGATGGACATGTTACGAATACATCGGCTATGTAATTGAAATCGCTGGTGTGTAGTTTCATATGTTATATTACCATGTGATATTAATAATTGACCTTCACTGGCATTTCGATGGCCCTATACAATACTATTTGAGGGAAAACATATTCACTTCGAACATTCCAACCTGCCTTGATTTACACGATAAATTTTGTGACATAAACTGTTTAGCTCACATATTATTACTATATTCCCGTTTAATTCAACTTTGCATTATTTCAGAATGTGGTTAAATGGAATGTTGTACTTGTGGATCAGGATCTCTGTTGGTTTTGTTCCCCTAACCCACCCCCACGAATCGAATGAAAAAGTTCAAATGCCTTATTATATATACGTTTGTAGGCGCATAACATTGAATGACTGTAACTTTCTTTCCTTTTGAGTGTAACCTGGCTGTCATTATCCTGGAGGAGATTGGTTCCCACTGCATGAGAGCTTTGGTTGGTGTTGGTGAAACCATGATGGCCACTCCGTCTGTGTGCTCGTGGTTGTCCTCTGGGTGGCCGGAATAGATTATTGTCTCTCCAGTTGGTAGTAGTTGGCACCTTCCAGTTCCGTTCCATCTGCTTTAGCAGATTCCCAACACTTCTATTCTGTACCTTCTCATTTCAGCGGCTATCTGGGCAGCCTTTCCAGTTTTGTACATTGTACGAACATTCCAGGTACTCATCCTTACTTTTGCTTTCATCGAAAGAAGGCACATCGGCTGACTGGCTTCCCGAAGGCTTTCACCAGCCTGCGTCGTTTCATCTCCCCGATTCCAGCGAAAAATAAGGCTATTGCTTATGTTTTTAGAATTTTTAATATATTTGCACGTTGAAGTTTCTGTAGCGATTTGGTGGAGCTTTACGCGGGTGGAGTTGCTAGCACCACGCCTCACCCCTCCCTCTTTACCCGGTCTTGGGACCGGCTAGAAAACTAGTAAGCTAGTAGCCTAGCAAGCTAGTATCTGGTGAGGTTTCGACGAGACCATGGATACTCTTAATATTTAGTAGATGTGATGACTATGAATTTCGACGATGTCAAGTGTGATGAGTTTGTCGCATTTCGACTTTTGACCATGTAGAGATCTGGTTGTGAAGTGCTGTAAAAAAGTGAGAAAAACCTTGGTATTTAAAATGTTGTCATCAGATTAACCGGACGCTCGGAATTCGACAAGAGGTTTTCTTAGTTCTGTGCTTGCGATTCACTTAACTTTCCGTATAATGCTCTACATTTTTTTGTGTATTTGTAGGAATTCTCTTGGAAACAGTCAGTCAGATTTTCTTTATGAAAAGCACGCGACGTTTTGAGTCCCTTTATCTCTATTTCATCTGAGATCAGTCTCACACTACTTATTACTTTCAAGAAGTATGACTTCATAGTTTGTTTACGTGTCTTTATTACATCGTAAGAGTTGTTGAATTTCATTGGAATTTATCTCATTTGGTGTATAAACATTCTATTTGGTATGGCGTAGTTGTCTTCTTATGGTTGAACAGTGTCTGTTGTACATTGTTCTTTTATGTTCCACTTTCTGTTGAACATTATTTATTCGAATCTCTTTCTATTCTTGGCGTTTACACTCGTCTGTTGTTCACTATTCACCGTTTCTTACTCTTCACATATCCTTGCTGTTTGTCTCTGACTGATGCACATTCATTGCGCTTTTCACGGCATACAGCCTACATACATCATAATTTGCAGTCTGTATACTCTATTTAACCTGAAAGAAACAGCCTCCTTCACCTACCTGGGAAGCATCGTCTCAACTACAGGCGGAACTGATGAGGACATCAAAGCCAGAATCGGAAAAGCAAGACAAGCTTTCATTACTCTCAAATCTGTGTGGAGGTCAACAGCACTCAGCATCAAAAATAACATCCGGATTTTCAACTCCAATGTGAAGTCAGTGCTACTATACGGATCAGAGACTTGGCGAGTCACAAAGAGCATCTCAAACAAACTTCAAACCTTCATTAACAACTGTCTGCGCTCAATACTCAAGATCAGATGGCCAGAAAAGATCAGCAACAGGGATCTCTGGGAGCGAACCAACACAGCAGGAACCGATTGTGAAACAAATAGGCAGAAAGAAATGGAGATGGATTGGCCATAGGCTGAGGAAACCATCAAGTGACATCACTAGACAAGCCCTCGAGTGGAACCCGAAAGGGAGGCGGCGAGTTGGTCGTCAGTGCAAGGGTGACTTGGAGGAGGTCATGCGAGGAGGAGATGAAAGCATGTGGACATACCTGGAGCAGGGTGAAAAAGTTGTCAGAAAACCGAAGGCAATGGAGGTGCGCAGCTGAAGCCCTATGTTCCTCTAGGAACTAAAGGATACAATAATAATAATAATACTCTATTTAACAGTTACATGTGCAATATTATACCGTACGTTTTATAGAAAAATCATTGGGGAGTTTGTATTTCATCGGGATAGCTTATGGGGATTCTGTGGTATGATCTGTTGCTGTTGTCTTCCAACAGAATCATTGCAGATACTTTTCCGATGAATGTATCCATACAGCCGTGATAAAACTATCTCTATTCGACCAGCCGGTACCAGTGGTTCACGTGACTGGCTTTTAATTACGTGTATCGATTATCAGCACACTGATGATAATACAGATCTGATTATTGATCCATTTCCCTGCATAACTAGGATCTTCTATACAGTTTACCTAAATACTCACCAGTCTTTGTTAACACCAAATTTACTGTAAAACAGATGTGATGCGGCATTCTACACTCGATTTCATTGAATCTACTAACTGGAAATATCCCTAACCATATGCACAGCAAGATATATACTCTATTCAGTGCATATAGTTTGTAATTGAGTTGTCGCTCAGTACTCCACTATGCAATGAATAGTTGCCAGTAAATTTGACACACATCGTGTCCATGAATGATAGAACTCATGAATAGAACATGAGAAGATTTAAAAAAACAAAATGCTTATAAGAGAAGAGATTCTAATGCCAGAATGAACCTTCTTCATATCATCTAGTAAAAATTGTATCGCTGTTTTTTCTCTCACTGATAGATGATCTGTCTCTATCTCAACACATAAACAAAATGTGTGAGTTCATTTCCACTGCTTGTCACTGTTTCGACTGTAATAATATATTCATGCATTTGTGAAAATGTTAACGTGGAAACGTCCGTCTACCGACAATCTACTAAACGGTAGTCTCGAGTCTGTTGATTCAAGGATGGGCAAGTATATTAAGATCACATCAAGGCTTCTGTTATTATTATTATTCTTATATTTATAATCCTCTCATTTTTTGTTTGTTTATTTCCTCATAAGTGTAGACATCATTTAATGTCTGCGATCATCGTTATATTTTGCCTTTGCCTTCACCGTGCTATATCAAGAGAAAATTAGCTGCAATAGTCTAAAACATACTAGGATTTCCAAACTGCATCGACAATGCTATTTGAAACAAACTCATTTGAGTTATTATTCTCAACTTTCAGTTTGTACTTTTTCGACCTCGTTCCTTTTGTAAATGTGGACAAATTCCTGTGGTTAATTTTATTGACATTTTGAGTAAACTAAATGCAATACTGTGACAAATGCTGAAAATTCCATTCTGTGTTATATGTAACGTTTTGGAATAAAGCACATTATCATTATTATTACTATTATTATTATCATAATTGTTATTATTGTACTCCACCACAGTGCCCAAGTTCTATTCTTATAACACTTAGAATGCTATATGCAATGATTTTAGGAATTCGACCACTAATTATCACAACATATCATTCATCTCTTAATATTGTTTAAGATTCTAATGCTGTCGAGCTTCACTGCACAACGTTTGCTAGAATCAATATGCGTAATCAAGAAATCATTGTGACTGTTGTTAGTCAAGTCAAGTACATGATTCACCGAGTTCCTTTAGTTATTCGAAAATTAACGCCTTATATCCCTGTTTCGAGAATTCATTTGTCCGAATCACATTGAATCTCGAAGACTCGCTCATAATCGGAAATCAAACAAACTTGATCCGCTAATAATGTATGTTATTAGGCTGTCTTTCATCAAGTGTTACAGTCGAACAAATCCAGTTAACGGTTTATTATAATTCCAGATTCGTTTGAATTTCTAAATACCGTCGCATCTCCTTTGGGTTCTGCAATGTTTTTCAATTTGACCACAATATGTTTACTTATGGAGAGGAATGTATATAACAGTGTGTGCAATACACTACCATCCATTTCGCTTCGCGCTAAGAAAATCGCCTACTCCGGAAATTCCACGAAATTTCCAATAGCCAAGACGTTTGAAATATTATCATGACAGCGTTTCACTGTTTATTAATATCTTAAGTACACTACTCACCAATGTAAATGAATAATTTGCAAAAACTAACAAACACCTTAATACGCCTAAATATTTCAGCACAAGTTATATCATAGGTAGACGGCCACTGGAAATTATGGGACGCTGGATAGTCATATCGCCTACGTTTATCATACTTCGGAAGTGTGCTTTTCAACAGCCGAATTACGAGGTTAACGTGTCACAATTCAACAACTGGGCTGGAATTCAATAGCTCACGAAATCTCACTTTCGCGAATTGGCGATATCACCATTCACTTTTATTAGTATCAGCCCGCATGACTGATCTCAGTGGCCCCACTTGCCATGGCTTCTTAACGAAGACTGCCTCGAAGTCAACAAAATCCACACAGATCCACCTTGTCAACCTCATTATTCATTATTGGCTCGAGAGAAGCACATATTCGTTGCAGAACATCTTCAAATGGAATGGTTTTGGGTCTATTCTTGCAGTCCCCTCAACAAATTGGGAATGCTTCACCAGTTTCTTAACATTATGCCAACTCACAAACAGAGTATGGATACTCAGTGTTAACTCCTAACCCTCAAACGATGCAGAAATCTGTCAAATTAAGGCTTCTCCACGTTAAAATAGGAAATCCCACTCAACGAACTAACCAGTTTAATCAGTTCCACAAGAAGTACTGCTGTGAATTAAACTACTCTCTCGACACAAACAGTATTAAAAGAAACGTTTAGTTCGAGTGAGGCTCTATTCACCTGGTAAGCCGAAATTGATGCGATTTGACCACACAAGATAATTGATCCCAACAATAAAATCAAATAGTACTACAGTCGTGTGCGTTATCAAAGCCTATGGTGACCATCGTCTAAATGAAACGAAACCGTTACTAAGGCACAGTGATGCCAATCATGAATACCATAGAAATACCAATCCACGGGGGATAAAAACCAAAATCATTATTGAGTCGGATATCTGTCAGTTATGAAAGTTATCGCATTGGAAATATAAGAACTCATTTCGTAGTGAAAATCGTTCTTCACTTTTATATGCATATCGAGTAGCAGCGTGAGAAACTCGAGAACAATAACGACACCGAGTCATGCCATGAGAAACCATTATACGATACCTTTCGACTATGCATCATACGCAAAATACTGTTATTGTGATATCTGCACTGAATGAAGCTCCGTCGCCACTTTGTTGTAACTGAATTGAATGGAGCCGTTACTAATTTACTATATCTGCGCCTCCTAATTGATAATAACGGTAGTGAAGTCAACTGGTACCCTAATATGCCTATTTGCTCGTTGTATCTTCCGCTCCACTGAGCCACGCAAATATCAAAAGACAAAGGCTGGACTGTGACTGTAAGACTGTACCGTACTGTATATTTACTGGAACAACGGCACGTGATATTTATACATTTTTACAACAATAAGGTCGGCTTACAGCCGTGGGGAATAATTGATCACACAAGTCACAATATGCATGAGAAATGATTGATCGCATAATTAATGACAATACGCGTGAGAAATAAGAATATACTTTTTAATGCGGGACCCCGTCAATTATTCGTCAAATATATGTTGTTCTTCCAGTTAATTACAATAAGAATTCAGGTTTTACCTTTTAGTTAAGAAGCATACAATTCACATTAGAGTAGAAAACTGTTATACATGAATCACAATAATCTGCAACAATGATGTAAACCACGCAATGATGTAAGTACAAGCTAAATCGATTTATAGGGAATCATTCGCAATACCGACATACTTTCCATTTTCCTCTATCCCTTTTACAATTAGTTGTTTTATGCACTGTGTTTATGCTACCCAGTGTGAAAATGGCTACTGACTTGACATACAACAGTACCAATATAATCAATCATTCACTAAAACGTTCACCAATAAACACTGCTAAAGAGAAAAGTCAACGTGCACAAAAATAATTTCGACTGGAAACGAAAACTCCAGGCACTTATTTCGACAAGGATGAAAGGAATATTTTAGTTATTCAACGATATGTAGTGCACCTTGAATGTTTGAACTTCTGTTTCAATGCATACCCTCACAAACTGGCACCAACACCAGCTTTGTTGCTCTCTCTGCTTGTGTAATGGACAGTCTGATTCAGTTGTACAGCCTTTCAAACTAGATAAGTTATTCGAAAATTTTTTCAGAATTATCTTGACTTCTTTTTGTATTCAAATATCCTCCTCGAAAGAGCACATTACTATTTCTCAGTCTTTTTAGTTTGCGGCTTGTCATCAGTACTCAGAATATAGGCAGAGTACTGATTTTTCAAACGCCAGACAAACTTCATTTAGTGGAGTTGGCATCTTTTAGCCAATCTACAGCATTACACAATGAGACAGATAACCTAGGTACTTCTTTCACTTTGAGAATCACAACGAGTAGTGTGGAAAATGTGAGTTTCAGCTTACTGGCATTAAGTTTAGCGGAACAATCTTCCCAACTTGTTGGTGCTCATTTCGCTTGGTACATTACCTGTGGATTGCAGTCGTATATACGGAAGTCTTGTATTAGCAAATATAGAGGAATTCTTTTCTGCTCCCTTGACCATTTGTGTCGCGATGAAGTTTTACAGGGTAATTATTTTCAACCATCTCTCCAACCTTAAGTTCGTCTTCAATTGCTACTTCTAAACATATAACTCTGACTCTGTATCCGAGTCTTTGCAAATTTCTTTTGTACTGGATAGGAGAAAAGCCTTGAAAGTGTATATATCCTCTTGCCCACGTGTTTTCTCAAGCGAATTCCTCTTTATGCTTCCATCTGATCTTCTGGTGAGTAGGATGTCTAGGAAGGCAATTTTACTTTGGAATTATTCTTTGCACGTGAATTTGAAAGCTGAATGAACTCTATTGAATTGAGATATTATTGCGCATCTGTCCAAATTATTTTCACTAGGGGTGAACGTGTCATCTACGTATCGGTAATAAAATGGAAATTTTCTGATTAGATTGTTTAAAGAACTACATGGAACGCATTCTGATATCACGGACCTCAATGGAGTGGCCAATGCAGAGTTAGCCATCAAATTTAAATTCATGGTACACTTTAGCATCAATTCTTCAAGGATTTCTACTGAGATCCCAATATTTATTGATTTTTTATTTATTTGTTCACAAATGCAATTAGCCGTCTCTCTAGGAACCTCATTTTTTATGCACAGGAACACCTACTAACAGTCCTATATCAGGCCACCCCGTCCAAATAGGCCACACATTCAGCATTGAACAGTCTTTTTCTCCCACCTATAGAATAATGAATGAGTCGCCGAACACTCGAAACGGTAAAGGTAATTACACTTCGCTTAAAACAACCGGCGCTCCGTATGCAGACCAAACCTGCTCAGCCACTACTGTTACCCTGGCATACTGTTTTTTATTCCTTTACGTTCTCGGTGGAACATAGGGCTTCAAGCTAGAGCCTTGAAATTTCGGTAGGAGTGGTATTTATTTTTACGGAGTGAGACTGCTAGTCTCACGCCCAGTCTTCCCTCTTTACCAGTCTTATTACTGGCTTAGCGAGGTAAGGGAGTGCGTCGACCGAGGATCGATCTCCGGACCACATACGTGGTCGACGAGCATTTTACCGCTGTGCCACCGACGCACTGGCCTACTGTGGAACGTATAAATTCCTAAATTCTGTACTACATTTCTCAATTCATCCGATATTCAGTTTAATGAATATTACATGCACAGATGCTATCTAACTGTAATGTAATAACATTATTGACTCAATGTTACTTGAAAACAATAGTGTTGTTAATAACAACAATTCGTTAATTATTATGGTGAAATAACAGTAAAGCCAGATGTAGAAATATAGAGAAAAGGAATTTTTAACAAAATGGGAAAACAATAAACGTGTCTTGAATACTAATGGCTGGGGGAAAGACGTGAGATTTCAGACAGAAATCTAACTCTAAAAACTGTGTGTTACAACGTACAGTAGTTTAAATCAGATTTTATTATCAAGCGATAATTACCTTGTTGAATCTCCTTGGAATTATTTAGAGGAGACGAACTTGTCTGATTATTTTTAGTGATAAGATTGTCACCGTAGATACTGTTCAGAGAAACGTCATTTGAATCTAATAAAATACCGTGACCTCCTTCTGTTAATCCAATAAAGTCAATACCGGATGACAGGCTGACAGCATTCTGATCATACCTCAGAGAACCATTAAGTAGGGCAGTTGTTGCTGTATTCGTTTCTTCATCCTCTGCATAATTGGTAGTCAAGTATTCATTTTCACTTAGTCGATTTTCCACAGCACTTTCCACATAGTGGGAAGTGTTTAGTTCACTAGTATTTTCATCGATATTCTGTGAGTTGGACACATCGTTATTCATTATGGATGGATCTGGAACACTTTTAAAGTGAAGATTAGTTGATAAAATGTATGGCTCTGAGTGGAAAATTCTTAAATGACCATTTTCAGAAAAGACATGTCTATCCTACAAAATAAAAAAGATACTTGCGGGGAATAGTGTACTGAAGTGTGAACAGTAGTGGATAAGTATATATGATATATGAACTTATTATGAAGCAGTAAATAATACAAGCTCAAACCAAAGTGATCACCCGGACATAAATGCTATATGAATTATTTGATGATAAGTCTTAGTTGGTTGGGTAGGCTTAGTGAATAAACACACCAGTCCCAAAACCCGCCTCATTTTAGACGGTAAACATACATTCTGTTTTTGTTTAGGAAGCGCTTTCAATATCGTCTAAGTCATCATATTCATGCTAAACTTTATCCAATCGCACTACCTCCCAGAATTTCCGATTATGAAACGTGACAGCTAATCAAATATAGTTCAACCCTCTAAAGTAACAACACTATTTGCAGTTCTCATAAGATTGTCCACTTCTAACAAATCAAAAGTATGCCGAAGCAATATATATGAAACAAACAAACAACCATCAACGATAACTAAATTTTAACATTCTATTCCTGGTCATTGTGAAATTCACATTCATTTCTTGATATCTGTGCATAACATTTGGCGTCCTCTCAAACTTTTAAATGGTGGTATATATAATAAGGCATTTGAACTTTTTCATTCGATTCGTGGGGGTGGGTTAGGGGAACAAAACCAACAGAGATCCTGATCCACAAGTACAACATTCCATTTAACCACATTCTGAAATAATGCAAAGTTGAATTAAACGGGAATATAGTAATAATATGTGAGCTAAACAGTTTATGTCACAAAATTTATCGTGTAAATCAAGGCAGGTTGGAATGTTCGAAGTGAATATGTTTTCCCTCAAATAGTATTGTATAGGGCCATCGAAATGCCAGTGAAGGTCAATTATTAATATCACATGGTAATATAACATATGAAACTACACACCAGCGATTTCAATTACATAGCCGATGTATTCGTAACATGTCCATCACTGCTAATAAAAGTATTAACTCAAATAAAATCTTTGAAGCGTTCAATAATACTCATCGATGAATTGCTTTTACGCTAGAAGTTGTGTCATGAGGAAGACTTCCGTCCTCAGATATTCAACTATCGAGGAGAAGTGATGTATGTGTATTACTGAAGTTTCTTGAAATATTTTTAAATAACTGCCGCTGTGTCCTTCCATGTATATAATAACATATTTCAAATTCACTTGTTATATATGTGAATGGATACAAAAATGACACCTACGGGATCAACCATTACGTCATCACCATTACAAATGTCAAACCAACAGTTATCACATTGCCGATATGGTGCCATTTTTTAGACTCGTTGCTTTTCATCTTATCCCGACTGAATCCTACTTCAACTTGTGCTGCTTGCTGAAGAAATTCGGCACCACGCATGAGTTAAACACGCTCTTATCAAGTGAGTCCTTGAAAATTCACAGACTTATCAAAATTAAAGTGTACTGATAGACTATCAGTGATAGGTAATACGACATTCCAATTTCGACATAAAGCTTAAAGATAAAGTTGTGGAACTCAACGTTTACGTACACATCTGGAAAATAACTACTTGTGCATACAATTCCATACATATTGCTTTCTCCAACCACTAATCTGAAGGATATCTAAAGCCTCTGACAGAATTATCGCTTGCCAAGCTCCACGCAAATTAGAGCGTCACAAGTAGACTGAAATACCAAAAGAGAGCTGATTTTGTTCTCCAACACATTTACTTTTCTCTGAGATTATTGTAATGTTTATTTATGGAATAGACCAGGTAGAATGACACATTGCTTTTCAAACATTCATGATTACAATATAAATAATACAATTATAGAAAAGCGAAACACAAGAAAAAATATTCAATTCACCAGGATCGACACTTGAAATGGTCTGGAACATGATGCAAGTAAGTGAAAATGTTCATTCATTTATAGAGTTTTAAGTTCTAGTGGTAGACTCCCAGAACGCGACTACGTAATGTTAAAACTTTTGAATGAAACGGCGAACTCGAATATACGAATTTCGCAGTAGCACAGAGAATACTTAATTCTTATTTATATGACAAGAGATATATCCCCAAGTAATGAAGAGATAAAATGAAATCCAAATCTAAACAACCATCAGCAACTGGAAATTTCTACCTCCCCACCTCCATAGGAACACATAAACAGTATGCAGGTAACACTTGCGACAAAAAACTAGTAAAAAACACAACCGTTAACGAAGCTAACAATGTCAATTCATTTACTCACTTCTAATATATAAGGCTGTGAAAATCTTGAATGGTTCTTTGTGAAACTTAAGTTGCCATCACCTGCAACGTTTCGAAATTCGGAAACACGTGGAAATTGTGACTCTTTAGGACTACGAATACTATATCTACTTCCTGCTGAAAAATTCGTTTCCTGGGTAATATCATGAAGTGCTCGTTGTTCATTTTGGGTGGACCGAAATGAAACATTGTATTCAATACCTTCAGGTCCAACCGTATATGGTGCATTTTGACATGTGTTCTCAGTTGTAGAGGAGACGTCCTCGGTCATAGCCTGCCCAGGAGGAAAATTCCGCCCAGTGACGAGATTGGGATTGCTGCTATCTCCACAGTTTTCAGTGAATGAAGAACTAGACGTGCGATACATCATTGCCTTCTGAATGGGAATGCACAAAGTCAATAAAAAGTCAAGCAGTCAAGTAAGATTCCGAATGACGTAACAATTTACTGGACAGATGTTACGGGATATAGCTTACTTGTAATGACAACATTTATGGTCCGAATAGTGCCAAGCACTCACATATTAAATTATAACTATTATTATCATTATTATTACTGAGTAACAATGGATGACATAATTGATGGAATTACTCAGGAGTCGTCTACTTCGCAAATTATGTCTAACAATATTGGCTCCTTGCATATTCATAAGGCGAAGAAGTTCGCCAAATGATGCACACAAATACTTCCCAAATCCTAAAATATTTCTGAGCACTCCATCCCTCCAAGGCTTTCTAGCTAGAACTCCGGTTCTGTTTAAACAGACTTACAAAGTGATCAATGTTGACTGTGTGTAGCTACCGTATTCTCTGCTGTCCATTCTCAACACACAATATATAACTCCACAAAATCTTACTCAAATGAAGCCCACTTAGATTAACGCTAGATTTTATGTTTACAAATCAGGTATAAGTGTGTGCATCAGGCTACGAAAGTGGACTGTCATCTGACTAACGCTTCAGACTGAGGTGAACAAGATCGGCTTTCAGCGTGCCACAAAATATGATTCAAATTCATCCAAACGAGAAAAGTAGTTTCATCAATACACAGATGTTATACCTCAGATTGTTACTAAGTAGCATTACATACAAAGCTTGCGAATTAAAAGGGTATTGGTGGCACCCTGCATTGATTTCACTGCTATGAAGATGAAGAACATCACCGGTCTCGTCGCATTTGTACACTCTACTTCCTAATTGGTAGGGCACAAAATATTCACCAGTATAACTGACATGGTGATTCAATCTATTCATGCAGGTCCTCACTTAGCTCATCTATTTCACTACAACGTATATCTACTTATAAGACAATACTACAGTGGGGTTAATTATTCATGATATTCCTTCCAATAAGATTTTGGTAATAGAGCACTAATCCACATATTACAAGTGTATTGACTCGCAAACTCAAAAGTATATGAGGAAATAAGGGAGACGGTGCTGAAATAACTCCGAAGGAGGGGATACTAAGATATGGAGGAGTAAACACACACGCACCCAAATACAGAGTCGACCGTGACTGACTTCAGTCGGCGAAAGGCGATAACTCAAATAATTATTCCACAGGTACATGAGTGAAATTTCATTACGTTCCGTGCAGGTTCTTCGGCTTAAAATTACTCCAAAGTGAACAATAAATAACAGGAGATAATCACTTCAGCCGTCTCAATTAACTAACAAACCTCACTCACAAACTGACTCACTTATCGGGAAATTAATATTTACTCCGATGTCAGTTTGTTTTGAAACTTGACTGAGTGAACACTTTTAGACAGGTTGTGTACATAGACATTACTTTGGATTAGATTTGTGAAATCACACAGTCTATTCAGGGAAAGCAAATAGTGAAATAATATGACCTGTCATACTTTCATGACTAAAAACCAACCGCTTTAAAATTAAAATCAGAATCACTTCATAAGGTCAACTGAGCCAATCAATTGGCCACGAACTCTGTGAATAAAGTGCTAACCGAGTAGCTTCACAACTTGCAGTCATCACAGTTATGAAATCTTTCCAACACTTTGATTTCAATCCCGAAAGCGTTCGTGTTTGCTATGTATCACAATTGTGAAACATACGAATTCGCACAAACTCCATCCACTTTTGTGACAAAGTCAAAGTAAGTCAAAGTGAGGTGCGCTTTTACACTTGCATACTAATGCACAATTGAGATCATCCTTGCTTGAGACAACTAGACGTCTTAACATTTTGGATACCTTCTAACAATGAGCAGGAATAATCTATACTACAAAAGTAAAAAGTGGACTCAACACCCACGTCGTATATTCAAGGCACACAAATTCGAAATTATGACGAATAAGTGAACTCCACTGAAGCATGAAGCAGCTTCAAGAACCCTTGACGGATGGCATGAAGCTTCAAGTGGACATACCAAGTGCAGCTACAACATCACAACAGTTTAGCAGAATATGACAGATCAATCTCGGTAAGAATTCTCATCCAATACATTTGACACTGGACCACAAGTCTCCAACAGACCGTAAGATAACGTCAGACTTGCTTAAACAAAGACGCTATCACATTTCACTCGGTGAAATGTTAGGTTTAAGAATTACACACGATTGTGCACATGAAAATGTCGTCCGCTGAAATAGTTAGAATGTTAAAACTGTTTTGTCCAGACATCCACGATCCAATACTTAACTTACGGTGCTTCACCTTGATACTTTTTTATTTAGGTGCTGAAAGTATCCACGTATTTTATTCTACAGTTTATGCAGAGTGAACATCAGCTTATCCCTTGTTGGAAAGGAAGAAATACGATAGCTTAAACTTCCCACTTCGTTTACATCCAAAATTAAAAGCTCCAACCCAGTCATCCATGCGTGTTTAACCTCATAAAATGAATCTCATCATGGTATTATGCGATACTTGTCATAAGTATAAAAGATGTTAAGAGGCATAACCAAACCAGAAAGTTAAAGCCCATTTTGAAATTTATCAGAGTCGACCAAAATTTCTAAACTGAATGAAGAAGACAAAGTGCAACCGAAGTGTGAAAACATTAACACGATTAACGTAAACACAGAATACATTACTCAAACCTTAATGATTGACTGGATTATTTGCTCAGAGCATCTTAGAAATTCATCTATGATAACCTTTTCTTGTTCATAGTCGGAAAGATTTCTGAGTGCAGCTTCATTGGCGTGAGCAAGCATACAGCTGCATGCTGCCTCAATTGATTCGTAGGAAATAAGCTTAAAAATATGACTTGGAAACTCAGATTACCAATTTTGGCCTGTTTATATATCCATGTTCAGTAGGTAGATTTGATTTGATGGTGCCCAATATTCCTCCGAAAGCTTGGTTAGCATGTGGTAGTTGGACATAATTCTCCTTGTAACAAAATGTATCTTGACTATACGTGAAAGAAGGTGATTTCAAATAGATCAGAAGTATCCGAGACAACCTACCCATTGTGTAACAGTGAGTTTTGCTCACTGATCCGAAGAGGATCTGCGTCTGATTCTTGCTGAATCTGCTCCTCCCCAACGTTTCGACATCCCTGACACCGACATAAGTTAGAACACGCAATTTTCGCCTGTAAGTGAGACTGGTTAAGTAATTACTATGAAACCTCATAACATTCGCAATAGTTTTTCAGACAGCCGGACTTTTTGCAGTTGCACCCCTTTGAGTGTCGTCGTTCGCCGTCGCCTAAAGTAGTAAGCAGTGAGAACCACCTTACCGACTTTCGGATGAAATGCCAGTGGATTTTTTTCCAAAGTGAGTTCTATTGCCCTCCGACGATCTTCTTCATGAAGACCATTGTTCATACAGTTAGTACAGTTGCAGTTATTGCAAGCACTGCCTCGAGCAAAACATTCGCAATACAGTTTGAGACAATGAGACTTGGCGCAGTTGCATGGTTTATGGTAAGAAGGGAAGGTGTAAAACGTGTCAGAAATTCCTGAATGATCTCTCGATTCTGATGAGCATTGAAAAAATTCAGTAGGAACAGTTTTAAGTGAGTCCTAAGTAAAACTGAGCATTCCGTCCAACTTTTACTTACATTTTCCATGTGAATGTTATTTAGTTGTCCAGGTAAATTCGTTTCACTGAAATTGGACTTATTACACCCATTAAGCAGCCCGTTTGAAATAACAGACTCTCCTTTGTCAACATTCATCTTCTCTACATACGTTCACCAATGTGCGAAATCAGAGGGGAAATCGATAGGATGGACTTAGCAACGAGTAAAACAAGCTGCCAAGCGTCCATCTAGAAAACATGGGTCAAAGATGAGTAAACATTAATGCTCAAACTATTCAAATACTGTTTTAGGCAAAGGTAAACAATAGAGTCCCAACTGGTGAGAACGCATGAGTGACCTTGAGCCGACTATCCATAAAAATAAGTGATGTTTGCAAGCGAAATGAGGTTTACTTACGAGAAAATGCATTGAAACACATCAATCAGGGTGTCTTCCAATGATACGGCCTAAAAATACGTCCCACTTAGAGTGAGGAGTATCATTTTGCAAGTTAGACCAGTCTGTGTACATGTATTCACCGAGGTGACTTAAGGTCAGCCTGTATTCTGACCCGTTTATCGCTCTTATCCCGTTTTGTAGTCTTCTTCAAAAGCCCTCAATTTAATTACTATGGTGTCCAGTAAAAGGATGCACGACTACTCAGTTGGTGTATAGAGTTCATATTTTCGCTATAACAACAACAGGTGTCGTTACCCAACAACCAGAATGCGTTCAAGGTCATCTGAGTGTTCACACTCTCCCCAGAGGCTGTCTTAGCTTCTCTCTAAATTAAATATTTCAATATTTGTTTGAGAAAAACGGCATGACAGTCTGACCACTAGAAATTAACGGAACATCGAAGAGGTTTTGACAGTCTTGCTGCTTTGATTCTTTCACAAACAGCCTATCTCACGTCATGATATCCTTATATTTACTACGGCTGGCCACACATGTTTAGGCCAAACCTTCGGAAAAGGAGATAGCAGCCAGCGCACTAGTAGGTTCACCACAGTAGTGCCTCTGGTTAGTGATCAACACCACTGTAGGGCAAGTGTTTCATTTACGCCTAACCATTTTGTCATATATTAAAGGGTGAAGCCTGTTCCGATCAGACAACCGATCTAACGTCTTGAGCACCCAACCACTGATTCCGCGTAGCCCATCAGATATTGATGAAGAAATTTAGATATGATGGAGGATGCTGCATGTTTCCTCATGGGTCACGTTGCGAAATCCATTTCCAAGTCACATTAGATGCTTCACCCATACAGTGAGATTGCACGTGGCAAGTTTTGCCAACCAGTACCCCAAAGTAATGCATCGACATAAAACAGTGCCAATTTGTTAGTCTGATAAATGTACGGGAGCTGCCCTTTAGACTAGTCTACATGTCTCAACCCACATCTGTCGAAGAGGACCTCCACAAATTACTCCTTCAGGATGAGTTGACCGTTGATGCCTGTTGGTATCCATGAGCTTTGACTGAAGTTCGCATAGTTGAGAAACCTGATAATTGCCAGAGGTTCCCGTATTACCGCTTACAGGATGGTTGCAAGGTACTGCAGGGAGAAGTCGTTCATGTCTGCAAAACAGCAGCAATCCATATTAGATTATTTAATAGATTTGTCAAACAGTAGAACAGTTGTGTTTCTGGATGACGTTTAGAACAAAATTTATTGTTCAAAGTCATATGAGTTACAAATACATGATTTCGAAACTTGAGTTTTATAGTCCTCTTTGTTCTTTCCTATTTTTCGTTGCTGTAGTAGAATTTTCCAGATATATGGGTGAGGTGTTGCATCACTACTATTACACGTGCATGCAGTTATACCGATATCTGTACTTGTGCATGCATTGGTCATCTCTAAGTCATGTGCATACAGTGTTGTTTTACCTATGCTAAAGCATTCAAATATATCTTTTATGCATATTATGAAGGGAAGATGGCTCAATACATCCTCCTGGATGACACAACTGCTAATTGGCCTACGCCAGGAGGTCGTTGAGCCAACTTTTGTCGTCCGATTTCTGTCACAGAGAAATGGTTTTTATCCAGTTGCGGAGGGGGCTGCGTATCCCTCTTGAGCGTAAACTGCTGACTATCAGATTATGTAGAACTCTGTCGAAGGCCCTCCTTATATTAAAATAGAGGATAATTACCAGATTCCTCCTATCTCTTCTGAAGGTGACCTCGTTGAAAAAGTCTGAATGGCAAGTAATGCATGATCTTTTCTTGGGTAATCCGTGCTGTAACCGACTGATGAGTTTAAAAAGTAGCCTCACATTTGGTCTTCGATTACTTCCTCCATGATCCCTGATGTGACAGGTTTTATACTGATAGGCCTTTAATTGCATGCATTAATTTTTGCTCCTGCTCTATGCTTAGGCAATATGTACATGTTTTTCCAAATTTTAGGGTGGAAATTCCCAGCCGACGTTTCTGTATTTCGTATATTGATAGTAAACTGGAGAATTGTTAGGTGTGTGTTCAGCTGTTAGTTGAAGGGTTAGAGTGCGCTACAGTATGTTTTGATCACTGTTATCAAGTTTGTCCTACATCTCTATCGAGATCGGCTCCATTTTGTGGCAGAGGATTAAGTTGAGGATATTTTCTTGTCGACTTGGCAGGTTCACGCACTGCATCCATCCTCCTACATTTATAGCTTCTACTAGCTTTGCGTCAGGTATGTCATTAGTTAGCCAGGTTTCGTTTACCAGGATTAGTGTTGGCCATTCCGTGTGTACACGAGGCTGCGTAGTGATGTTACTTTGTTAAGGAGAGGTCGGGTATGTAAGAGGGTAATTTTTGGCATATAATATGCGGTGCAACGTTTGCGTTGCATTTTACCTTGGTTCGCTATATATTTCTATTTTTGCTGTGAGACTCGCACAAGCGTTTCTCCAGTTCCATAACTGTAACCAATAACTCTGTCACTAACTAGTTATGGTTCATCATACAAAAAAGCCACAAACTCAGTCAGCTGTTAAACTGATGACTGATAGTATATATGTGCTCGCAACAACGAGCAACACAACTCCCACAAAATATGGAAGTGAGACACACAGCTTGCCAACACGCCGCAAGCGTCGAGCTGCTGTAACACTATCATCTAATGTGGCCGGAAGTGACACCAAAACTATTCTAACAACTAGTATCAGCGTTGCTTCTACAAACTCAGCACCTGGTCCTGACATAGGCCTCTTTACTTCACCATATGTAAGTGTCATAAAACTCTAGATACCAAGCCCAGATTTAGCACTTACTTCAGAAGTCGAACGACTAAAGATGTCTGTAGAAGAACTGAAGACTGAGCTGCGGGACATAAGGTGTAGTAAGGCTATGAATGAAGGATGTTCAGAAAATTTGGCCAACATATCTGAACTATCAACACAGATTAGTGGCATAAAATCACAAGTCTGCGAACTTGCACCTCTGAACATTCTGACCGGGTCCATAAACCCTTGCGAACTTGACTCAGAATCAGTAACTAAGGTAGACACCTTGATAAACTTCATCACAACAAAGGTTATCAAAAGAATTGAGGGGTTGTAAAAGGTTCAAAGCATCTTACTTAGGGCGGCGAAAATGCCCAACTCCCAAACGAAATGTCACAGACTGAAGAAGAGCCAGCATGACCACTGCTGTCTTATACGCCTTCATTTTGAAACTCTGTCACGGGCGAAAAAATTCACCAACACACAACGTATCTTATTACAGGACACAAGCTACAAACAAATAAAAGTTGTAGCAGATAAGACAGTGATTGAAAGGTGTGCTCACAATCACCTCAATAAGCCTAATGGCAAGGCGCCGCAAGCCACCAAAATAGATGAACACACAGCCAACACGGTAGAACTCACAGCCTCACCCCTCCCAAATCTCACCAAAACAGCTCCACAGAAGACGAAACCAAACGAAAGACTTGTGAGCTATCGTCTTACTCCTAAACTAACCTCTCCTTCATCTACCGCCGATCTAGATATGTCTATGGAAAGCCATATGATGGAAATCAATCCCTCTTGTAAGCTGAAAACATCCTCTCCTAGCCAAAACGAGGCAACACGAATGGAATTCGGTAACGAAACATGCCGAAATACGTCACTTGTTGCGAAAAATCCCCAACATATTCAAACTCCCAAGAATAACTCTGTCTGTCTGTTTTCGACGTAAAACTTTGCACATATGTGCGGCAGTTCAAGTCGCCACACTCCATGTAGTACACAAAGCAACAGAAGGAAGTAGAAGAAATGCATATTGGAGACATTAGACAGAGATGTGAGACAAAGGAGGAGTAATAACGAAGAAGAAAACAGTTTCATTGGAAATCAAAAGTCACAAGGAGTGGATGCATCTGCGCCAGGCATTGAGAACGATTTTGAGCCATGTTACCAATTGTTTCCAACCATTGGTTTTTACCGTCCCGAGGACATCAACCAGGAAGTCTACACCTTCCTACGTGGCTTAGATTAACAGTTGTAAATTTCATTTACTGGTGCTATGTTTTGGTCTGACCTCCGCTAGCTCTTTTCCAGCCTGACCCTATATCAGCTAACATTGCCCATTGTTGAGGAAGGCGATGACTAAGCATGCGTAACACATGTCCTAACCATCTCAGTCGATGTAACTTCACAAACTCGTCGATTGATTTCCTCTCCTTACCAGAACTCGACGCCTAATTTCAATACTGCTCACCTAATTATACTACTTCACACGGGAGATAGAGCGCAGGGACCGGTGATCGAGGACAGCTAATCTTTTTATGTCTTCCACTCTCAATGGCCAGGTCTCACAATCATAAAGGAGGACAGAGCGGACTGATGAGCAGTACACCCGCCCTTTGGTCGATAGTCGGATATCACGTCTAGAGACTAAACTGACATATGCGAAACGAGCCCTCTGTATCCGTACTGAGATTTCGTCAGAGATCAACTGCACCGAATGCACAAAAAGGTATAAAATATAAAACCGGCCTGAGGATAAATGTATTAAAACCAAAAGTGGACATCACGATAGTACGAACTTTATGGGTAGCATTATACATTGCAAATAAACGTTGTCAGCCTAGGGAGTTTCCTTTATTAATGCATTTACTAATGATATATTGCACTTACTTATTTTATTACACTTTAATTATTAACCTTAGCAATTTTACATTCCTAAAACAGCCTTCAATCCCTTGTAAACGTTGTACTTTCCTCAATATTGGTTGGTTATCGTATGCCTACAACCACGGGATGAAAACGACTCGAAGTTGATTTTCCCGCTCAACCTGGAGGACAACTGCACAATTCAATAACTATACGACCTGGTTCAGACAATCAGTGTATTTATGTATATCAAATACTTAACTGTTGAAACATAATCAACTTGTAGACAATCTACGATTTGACATTATATCATACTTGATCGTGCCTGTAAAAATGGCATGCATTTTCATGTAAATTTATATGTTTATATGAGAATACACATTAATATAACTCACGCTTTCAGGTAAATAATATTCAAAACCATACCAGCAGCCAAATTAAAAACAAAATAAGGACACAGAGTCCAAGGACAACAACATCACAACCTACTCGCATACTGCGCCAAGCCACACTAGTAGCTGGTGTAGAGACGGTATCACTCGAAGTAGTGTAAAAGACGACACTCAGAGCTCAGCCACCAACCACTCAGGGTATTCATTTTATGACACACAAAATAACTTTGGCAGATTATGCGGAACAAGTCTTCTGGGAAACAAATCACAGTG